ATATCAGGCTGACCTCATCAATCTCCGCTATCCGCATCTCTAATGGTTTGTCAATGCTCTTCTGTGCCGCATCAAAACATCTCCAAAGCACTTCAACGCAGACAGCATCCACCGAATCCGTCAAACCCTCCTTTCATGGCGGCAAAGGAGTATGCGCCAAACCAAATAGAAAAATTTAGAGTCATGATCCGACTGCTCTTTAACGAGGAGTCAGGCCGTTGCCAGCACACCTGCACACCGGTTGTAGCGAGTGCCACATATGCTGTGCTTATTTCGTGCACACCTTGTAGGGTGGCACAGTCTATTTTTGTTCTGCTATTCAATATTTTTACGACCGTACTGGTGTACTTTATCATCCTAGGGGTGGGACTGAACTCTGCTTCACTGAGCGTAGTGCCTTTCTCGCTGGTCTTCTCCTCTGTTTGCTCGCCCAGGCCAGCACCTAAGGTTTCTAGCTACAATGGGCTGACGAGTCAGTCTCGGTTACAACCTATACAGCGAGACAACCGTTGCAGCTTTTTATTTCACATATATTTCACGCTGTATTCCACCGGATATTAGGCTCAATACCCGACTCCGCGTCAGGGCTTGAAGCGTCCCTCAAGCCTGGATAGCAGAACAAATCACACTGCCAAATAACATTACAAAAAGGTGCGACATCCGAACGCTCGAGAGCCATGGCGGAAGACATCCTGCGGAGCTAGAACATGCTGAATACTAGCTCTCTAGGGCCGTGGAGCCAAACCCTGCAGCTAATCTAATGCTATGGCTAACGGCTACTTACCATTCAGAGCTGGTTCTGTTGGGTCGGTTCCGCTAGTTTCAGGCAACTCACAAGCTCAAAACTATAAGGCTCAGGTCCGCTTGTCTCCTCCAAATAGACTTGGTCCCTTTCTTCTCGAGTGTCTGGGTAAGGAGGGGGAGAAACGTCCTTCACTTCTAATAACTGCTCAGAGTGAAGGGAGCTAGCTTCGTCTCGTTACCCATCTGTCTTCGTCACTGCTGCGGCTCCGCCCTCTCGGTCCGCCAGGCAACACCTACTAATGTTGCAGTTTTTAATATTGATACATGGGTGGAGAAGGACTCTGAGGCACACTTGACCTGCTCTTTAAGTAATCTACGTGAGTTTGTGGATGACTGTCTACCCTTAATGAAACCAGTTTGGTCAGGGTGTATTATGAAGGGGGTTACATTCTCTAATCTTTTTGCCAGGGCTTTATAAATAAATTTGAGAAATAAATAAATTAATTAATTAATAAGAGAAATTGGGCGATAGCTGGTAGGAAATGCAGGGTCTTTGCCTGGTTTTAACAAAAGACTAACATTGGCTGAATTCATGTTTGGCTGTAATCTGCCGCTCTCTTCGATTTCCCTCATCATTCTGAAGAATGTTGAAGCCAGAATGATCCAAAATTCTTTGTAGAACTCTGCTGGGAACCCGTGTGGACCTGGAGCTTTCCTAAGGGCTTCCTGGAGCTCCGCTGATGTTAGTGGCAAGTCCAGGACTGTAACTTGGCTGTAGGCCTGGGCGATATGGCAAAAAGAATGATCATGATATATTTTTCCATATCGCTCAATTTCGATTTTAATCACGATTTATTTTTATATCATCAGTTTAAAGCAGCTTAAAATATAAAAATAAAGAAACTAGATATTAGTTAAACCTTTTATTGACATTCTATGTGTCTTTAATGCTATACGGTGTTGGGGTTATTAGGAGCGAACAATTCGTAAGCTTCAACTTACTTTTGGATTCTTCAATAAATTCTGTAAATATGAGAATATTTACTGATTTATTAATTAATTAAGATATTCTTAGACATCTCCGGGGCACCACCCCGTTCTACCGGGGAAAAATTGAATCCAAAACTCTTATCAGTCTTTCTTGAAGTTCGTAGAATCCTTGGAGCAGAGACTTCTCTTCGACACAACAAAGCTACTGGAGACGAAAATCTGAATTTTATAACATTTAATTGAACAATTTGTCAAATGAATAAACAGTGGCATAAATGAATAATAACCATGTGATATAATTGAAGATGGATGTGTTTGCGTGTGATGGAGGATGTATGAATGGGGTCCTTTGTTCTCACAAAGGAGTAGTGTGTGTGTGCGTGTGTATGGATTCAAAATGGAGTCTTGAATACAAGATGGCTGACCCCTTTGTCTGGCTAAAGTGTGGGTGGCAACTTGCACTTTAACTTCCAAAGCACTTAGAATCAGTAGTAACTTAACCTTAAATCACTCAAAACATTTCAAAGGATCATGAAACAACACAAAAGATTAATCACAAGTTAATATCTTTTAGTTTCACCACTTGGCCACAGTAGGAAACATTTAAAGATATTCAAACAATGATAAATAAGCAGTTTATTCTTTCAAAATGACCCGACGGACGTATTAGGAGCGAAAGAGGAAAACACGAAGCTACTTTTAAGCAATAGACGCGGTTTTATTGCTTATTCTGGACTATAGAGGAAACGGAAGAAGGAAAGAGAGAGAAGGAGATGAGTTTCTGATCACCAGAACAGTGAAGCGTCCCTCACTGTTTTGATTTGACGGTTCTCCGTGTTTCTCCGCAGTTTGGCGTCGTCCGTCGGTTTGATGGCTTTCTCCGCTGTTTTGGCGTTCTCCGTGAGTTTGACGGAGTTGCGGATTTCCCCAACCCGGTTCTGTGGTCTTCCCTTCAGCAGCTAGGCAGCGAGCGGTTAGACAGACCTGATGGGCTTGCAGCTTAGCCTTCCAGCGGTCCCGTGACTCAACTTGGGCACTTAGAGCTTCTGCGTGCTCAAGGGAGTCGGAGCGTTTGACAAGCGTGTCCTTACCGCCAGGTATCCTGGGCAAAAGAACGAAGTTTCTTTGTCTTTGTTGATGATTTATAGCTTGAGTTCGCGGGAAAGCGTCCATGAGCTCCCGCCTCCCGCAGAACGTGTTTCTGGTATTAGGCGGTGACATCATCCCAATGCTTCCGTGTGCAAAGCATCATGGGAAATGAAGTTTCTTGGCGCTGATGTGATTATTTGCTTTTCAGAGCAATTTAAGCACAGTCATTTTGGAGAAAATCACTGCATAGTAATTTCCTCATGAGGTCAGACCCTCAACAACGGATTAGTATGAAGATTGCTGTATAGTCACTGACACTAGTCAGTGACTTGATGCAATTTGCTGGGTTCCTTATATAGGAAACATTATTTCTGATTGGCTTAATGAACTGTGAATGGGAATGTTTATTATGTGAAGTGCCTTGAGACGACTCTTGTCGTGATTTGGCGCTATATAAATAAACTTGAATTGAATTGAATTATACAGGCACAAAATAAACAAATTATCTGCTTTGGGAAAATTAAAATACCCTAAAATGTAAACCTTTTTTATCTGTGATATGTATGTGTCGTTTATGCCATAGCTGCTGGCACTTAATCTTAACAATACGGTTTAGCTACTTTGCAGGTACAAAATCAAACAACGGAAAACAAATATAAAAATTAGCAGTGCAGAATTCTCAAATCATATATTTTATGCAAACAATAACACACCTATATGCTTTTTACCAATTTAAGCCGTCCTACTGCAACAGTTTTTGGCCGTGGACAAGACGTTGTCGTATGACCAACATGTACATATAAAAGAAATATCTAAATAAAATCAGTTCTGCATTAAACTCTTGAATTTTATTTTCGTTTACAAATGAGAATTGTTTAATATTACAGGGTTTCCGCTGGGTGTTGAAAAGACTTAAAAGGTGACAAATCGGTTTTGGTCAAATTAAGACCCCTAGAAAGTATTAAAAACTATTATCACATCTTTGCTCAGGCTCAGCTTGCCGAAAGTATTTTCTCTGAATTAGCTCTCCAACAGTCAAGGAAATAATTAAAAAGCTAAATAAAACTTCGAGCTCCATCGTTTAAAGTTCCTTCTCCCTTCTGCTCAGCGGTTCCACGGTTGCTAGGCGACGGAACGTTCGCCGAGGGAGTGGCGGGAATTCATGAAGGCTATGCCTGTCCAAATTCACAGCCTTTAACATCCGGTCAACTCGGCCGACGGAGGACCCAGCCCACGTCGGCCGAGTAGACTGGGTCCTTCGAAGGATGCAGATCTGAATTGAGACACAGCCATGGACACGATGTCTTGTGTCTGTCAGAAACTTAGCAGCGGAGTTCTGAACTAGCTGTAGGCGAGCAATCACACCCGGACTCAAACCGGCATAGAGCATTGTAGTAGTCAAGTCTGGACAGGACGAATGCATGAGTAACCGATTGTAGAAGCTCCCTAGACAACAGGGGCTTGGTCTTAGCTAAGCGTCTCAAATGAAAAAAATGAACTGGAACGTACTACTGTGTTAATTTGTGCATCAAATCATAATAATACACCAATATTAACTCGTGAATGTATTGATGAATAATATTAAATTGAACAAGTAGACTCATTTGGTGTAATTTTACAATCTTTACAGAAAACATGATAATAAACTTTTGTGCTGATTCCTTCCTTAATGTAAAGCAGTCAAGGCATTAAATTCACTTTAGATGAAACATTCATTGATTCATTGTAATTTTCCTTACCTGTTAAGTAAGAATCATTTAATGAGACAAATACAAGATGTCGTTATTAAAGAATGCTTCCTGTAACCAGATGGTTGCCAGTTAAAACCCAGGCTTTATCTATGTCAGTCATGTCCTTGAGCAAGACACCTCACCCTCCTCACCTGCTGGTGGTGGACGGTGGGACCGGGGGCTTCTGTGTACGTCAGCCTCGTAGAGCAGCTGTGGCTATGATGTAGCTCATCAGAATCACCTTTATTGTCTTTGTTTTTCAAAAACAAGACTTGAGAAAGGAACCCGGTGTGGGAGTGGATAAATGATTCACTGAAGTGCAAAGCGCTTTGGGGTCCTCTGGCTCAGACAGGTTCATCGTCACACTAACCTAGGAGCAGTTTGTCTGGTCGCTGTTGTAAACCTGTGTGTCTGATTCACGTAACATGAAATATTTAACTGTAACAGGTCAGCAGCTGGGTGGACCCGGCCTTCTCTGATTTGGCACCGAGAAGTTTCTCTGGCTCTGGAAAGAGAAAAGCTAGCTCTTCGTCGCTCCCCAAACCTGAAGAGAAGATTAGGAGCAGCCCACAGCTGCTGACTGAGACGACTGGGGGAGACGGGGGTGAGGCATGGGTGGACACATACTCACCTCGTTCTCAGGTCAGCTTCATCACCACTCGTAGTTCAGCTCAGACCTTATTACCAGGGCTAGGGTTAATAACTGGGTTGTGAGGAGGGAAGTTCACTCACACCAGTGCTTGTGTTTGAAGGCTGACCTAGCTGTCCACAGGAAGAAGGTTGAAGAAGTTGAGAAGTGGATAAAGACACACACAAACACTTCAAAGGTAACTAAAGGGGACTTGTCCAGTAGTTGTGTGAGAAGGCTCTGCTGTTGCTTTAGCATCATGCTGGAACCACAGATGTGACTTTGTTCAGGCTTGAATTTACTGTTGGCGTTTTGAAGCTCAGAAGACTCCCATTCTCTTTCCCTGTTGTCTCCAGGCAGGTGTTCTGATACTGACTGGACCTTCAGGCTGTGGGAAGACCGCCACCGTCCAGGTCCTGTCCCAGGAGATGGGTGTCCAGGTCCAGGAGTGGACCAACACATCAAACCTAGAATCGTACGGCAGTAGTCAGCACGGTGAGGAGAAAAAGGGAAGTGTGTGTGTGTGTGTGTGTGTCATTAATAACTAGGTCCTATTGTGTTTGGTCTCCAGCTGACTGGAGCACAAATGGCTTCTCCTACAGCTCCCAGTTAACCCAGTTCGAGGAGTTTTTACTTAGAGCCAACAAGTACAAATGTCTGAAGATGATCAGCGACAAAGGGACCACTAACAGGAAACTCATCCTGGTGGAGGTATGAAAACATGATTGACTATTTATAAAGCTGCTGGTTTGGAGGAGGAACACTGATGATTGTTTAGTAAGTACTAAAAGGACCACGAGTACCATCGATATTTTTACCATATCAGTGTATTTTCAATCAAGAAACAAGATGACTTTATATCAATATAACTAGTCGAATGGGGGGGTGGGGGGTTGCTTCGTCCCGCAGCGCTCCTCTGTGAGAGCGAGGGCGGGGTGGTTGCACACGTTCCGCTGCTGTTTCTCACCAGAGTTAGCTGATGGAGGGCTCTAAACTAGCTGCACCATTCGTGCCAGCGGACACGGTAGGGGCGGGGCGGGGCATGACGCTTAGCCTGGTGGGTGGGCAAGCAAAGCGCCGGGGGAAACCCTGCTCTGGGTCAATGCTTTGCTCTAAACTTTGTGTTTGTCTTCGTGGTTTTGAATTATGGGGACGCTGGTTCGTGTTACAGCGAGTTGGGGTGAATTATAATCACAATAAAGAAAAGTTGTGAGGGCCTTTGGGAGAGTGGGTCGAGGCCCTCGCTGAGTCCAGTGGAAGGTGTCGGCCACAGCTGAACAACCCTAGGCATCACTAATCCAAATATGTTCACCCATGAGGTTTAGACCAGTGCCCCCCCAACCCAGACCCTTCAGGAGAGTTGTGCTGTGATGGGCGGAGCCTGCCTGGACCTTCAGCCCTCCAGGTGTTAATGAGCAGTTGGAGTTGTTTGCTTGTCCAGTCCACAGGTGTGAAGGAAGCTTCACCTTCTTACCTGCTTGTTCTCAGGACTTCCCAAACCAGTTCTACAGGCATCCTGCCAGCCTGCACGCGGTTCTGAGGTGAGGTGGTGGGTGCTGGCTGTTGTCCTCTCCCATTTCCTGTTTGAGCTTCTTGTTGTTTGCTGTGTTTTCCAGGCGCTTTGTGAACAGTAGTCATTCTTCACTGGTGTTCGTTGTGTCGGAGTCTCAGAGTGGAGGCAGCAGGTCACAGGCTCTTTTTCCCAGAGAGCTCCAGGAGGAGCTCGGCATCAGCTGCATCAGGTTTTCATTCTGGGTTCTGCTGTTTGTCATGTGAAATCAGGCTTCCTGGTTCTGGTCTATAGGGCCTTACATGGACAAGCACCATCTTACATTGGTGATCTTCTCAGTCCCTACACCCCCAGCAGGTCCCTGAGGTCCAGTGACCAAAGCCTACTGGTTGTGCAGCACCAGGTTACAGACCAAAGGTGACAGATCACCTGCTGCTGTGGGCCCAGACGAGCAGTGGACTGAGTGGTGTCCACCTGTTCAGGCTGGCTGTGGTCTTCATCCTCCTCTTCCTCACTAGCTTCTCCTCGTGCTGCTTATTTAGGGAGTGTCTTAGATGATTTTGAATATTATTAAGACGTAATAATTTGGTGCTCTATAAGGATGGGATTGTCTTAAGTAGCCCAGTGTGGCAGCTGAGGGTCCGGTTCTGTTGATGCGGGTCACACGTGTCTATCAGAACCAGGGGGTTTGGACCTGCTGCTGCTCTGGTGGAAGGTCCCAGTAACTGGGCTGTTTGTTCTTCTCCTCAGTTTTAACCCTGTTGCTCCGACAGCCATGAAGAAGGTTCTGAATCACATCTTACTGCAGGAGACGAGAAAGGTGAGCGCACACCTGAGCCTCCGCTCCGACGCCTACCTGACATACCCGTAACCACGTCTGTGTCTGAGCAGAGCTGTGAGAGGGTGTGTGTCCCAGACCACGCACAGCTGGAAGTCCTGTGTTCAGGAAGTTCAGGGGACATACGGAGCGCCGTCAACAGTCTCCAGTTCTTCTGTCTCCCAGGTAAAGAGCTCTACCTGTTTACATAGGAGATTCAGGGCCAACCACCAGTGTGTTTGTGTGTCTTTAGAGAAGGAGCTGTTTATGGCCAAAAGGAGGTGTGTAGCGCCGCGGGAAAGGGTACAACGCATCAGCATGAAGGCAGGGCCGTCGAGAGGTGAGGAGGACCAGGCCATCGGAGGAAAAGATGCTTCTCTGTTCCTGTTCAGAGCTCTGGGAAAGATCCTTCACTGTAAACGTGAGCAGCACCTCACACTCACCTGTCACCACTGGTGTTTTCAGCCCGGCCCGGCCCGGCCCGGTCGCACATGGCCATGTTTTCACCACACAGCCTTGAAATGTGGAAATCTTTTATTTATTCATTTATTTTTTGTGGACATTACGGTTGAGTGAACGGCGGTGCTTTTGGCTGCCGCTGCTCACAGATAAGCCTTGATTTTATTTGATTTTATATGTTGGACTGACACTGTCGGATTGGTGACTGGACTGTGGCATCAATATCAATCCTAACTTCTATTATGTGGACCAACGCTATTCACATGTGGTCCGCACTCATCTGGATTTTAGCATTCATCTTCCACCGACCCGCTGCTGGCTTCCTCCAGTACACTGCCGCTGAGCTCCTCAGGATTCGCCACCGCCCTGGATCTCCACCGGCTTCGCTGCACCTCGACCCGGACATCTCTCATCCTCTCCGTCGGAGATATGTCCACCGCGGCTCACGCAGGAATTTCCACTACCACAACAACTCTTCAATCAATTATTTCTGGTCCACCACTCGCCGTCGTCCTCACAGGAACTCATACCGCCGAACAGTTGATCACTCCTCGTTAGCCAGCCTCGCCAGGACCGCTAACGCTCATGGTTGTGACAGCACCACCGTCAACTTCGCCCTTCTCAACATCCGCTCTCTCACTGGGAAAGGTCATCTCATTCACGATCTCATCAAGGACCGTGGAATCGACTTCATGTGCCATTGCGAAACTTGGCAGCAGCCAGCTGATTTCTCCCAGCTCAACGACGCTACTCCTCCCGGGTTTGTTTACCTCACCAAACCACGCGGCTCTCGCGGAGGAGGTCTCGCGATAATCTATCGCGAGAATTGGAAAGTTTTGCCAGTGTCTGTCCCTGATTTTAATTCCTTTGAGTATTTGGTTTTTAAACTTAATGGACCTGCCCCAACTATCATTGGATTAATCTACCGCCCCCCTAAACCTCACAAAGACTTTCTGTCAGAAGTCTCAGTACTGCTCACTCGTTTATCTACGCTCTCATCTAATGTAATAGTGCTTGGAGATGTTAACATACACATGGACAACAGCGATCATCCCCTCACCAAAGACTTCTCATCCTGCCTGGACAGCCTTGGATTTAATCGGCACATCAACTTTCCAACTCACTCCAAAGGACACTGCCTGGATCTGCTGTGCTGCTCTGGTCTCACCCCTCTTAACTGTGCAGCTGATGATCTCCACATCACTGATCACTATTTTATTTCCTTCAATATTGTAACCCAGCTTTCTTTTACCAAACCAACCCGGCTCATCTCTTTTAGGAATATAAAGGACATCAATATCGACACCTTATCCTCCTATATTGATAATATTCAGCTACCGGACAATCTCCCCTCTCCTCTGGCTGCCGAAAACCAAATCCAGACAGCTTGAACGCCTCTACAGAAAAACTGGTCTCACCATTCACAAAGAACTATATAAAAATCATTAGGGCTGGGCAAAACGATTATTTTTGTAATCGATTAATCTAGCGATTATTTTTTCGATACGTCGATTAATCTAACAATTAATTTGTTAATTTGATTAGATTAAAGGGACTTTACGGACTTTTGGATTTTTATGCTCGAGATTGCCCCTCAGGCCAAAAGCGTAACGGCAGCTTCAATAGTAGGCTCGTGGACGAGGCGCGCATGCTGTACGTGCACACTCCTTAACGAAAATAACAGCTGAGACAGTCCTGTGTGTGTGTGTGTGGGGGGGGGGACAGAGGACAGGAGAACACGCAGCTAATTAATTAAATAATTTGGTTCTGTACCTTTCTCTTCAGCACAGCCGACAAAGGTTTATGATGGGTCAGTCCTCCTGCATGCTCAGATCATTCTCTTCCCTTGCTTGAAAAATTGTTCCAAAATGAAAGTTGAACCCACATCTTTTTTATCTGTGAATTCAATGCCGTACAAGTTACAAATCCAAAGTTACATGTGATGAAACATGTTCGAAGTTACAAAACTTGGTACAAGTTACACTGAATATTGTCCCAATCCTAGCTCCATAATGAAGCAGCCTGCTTGACCCAAGCAGCTCTCTTTTTCTGTGATTTTACAGAAAAACAGGCAATCACAGTAAAAATGCCAGGGCTCATTCTACAGGACCAGGGCATTGCAGGAGAACGTATGAAGAAGACATTTATTATTTCTATACATGTTTTGGCTGTCACACTTCCATAATGTCCCTTTAAATTATTGATTATTTCCCAATTATTTGACTTGTATAGCAGTTTGATTATTACTAATTTATGTATCTCAATGAAATAAATGCAAATGTCTTCATTTGAACACATTTTAATAAAAAAATTAAAAAAAATAACATCCATTTTGCTGCCTTCTCTGTGTGTGTGTGTGTGTGCGCGTGTGCGTGCGTGCGTCCGTCCGTCCAATCATATTCATCACATGAAGCAGTTATGCATTGGTGGGCTTGCCCTTTTTTTGGTGATGATGTTTCCAGCAACAGAAAAAAGCCTTTCAGAGGGTGTTGGTGCGGCAGGTACAGCCAGATATGATTTGGCTCAAGTAGCCAGTGTGGGGAGTCTTGTTGTATTATTCTTCCACCATGTAAGGGGGTCATTATCCCTTGGAATAGGTGCTTCCCCAAAGTACAACAGTACTTCTTTCCTCACTGTCTCATTTTCTCTATCCCCACCCTGGTCAATGTTTTCATTACAATCTTCCTCCTCAGAATCTGTACCCAACAACGTTTCCAACACAGACCTCTTCTTTGTTGGGGGACTTGCTGAGGCTTCCTGCCCCACAGTTGCCTGCTGAAGCTGTGATCTCTGCTCCCTTTTGAGGTCAAGTGCATCCTTCTGTACTCTTACTTGCAGTTTCAGAGCATCCTCTGGAGAAAGGAATTTCAGTTTACGAAAGCGTGGATCGAGGGCAGCAGCAATCAGTGACACATTTTTCCCATCTTCTTGAAATGCAGATACCTCTGGCTGCCACCTTGACATGATTTCCTCTTCTGCACTGTTCTGGAAAATGTTCACTGCAGCAGAATCAAAGGATTTGTTTTGAGTGGATTTCAGAAGACCCTTCAGCAGTGGGGGGAGAACAGAGGCTGTGACATAAGATTGTCCACTAAGAACATTAGTGGCTTGCTCACAAGGCTTGAGCACCTCCTTCATCTCACCCAGAAGAATCCACTGATCATTTTTCAGATCCAGGTACTGTTTCCCACACTGTGTGACTTCTAGATCTGAAAGCGTCGCAACTACTGGCCATCTCTGTTCCAACAGACCTTCAATCATGTAGTATGAACAGTTCCACCTGACAGCTACATCCTGGATTAGTTTATGCTCAGCTGTACCCATCTGTTTTTGCTTCTCCTTAAGCTTGATGCTAGCTGGCTCACTTTTCCTGATGTGCTTTACGAGGCCCCGTGCAGCTGATAGTGCCTTATCAATCTTGGGGTCTTTCAGTACACGGTGTAGTGAAATAGAGTGATGTAACGATCTAGGGTTGTATTTTAATATACTGTAAGTAGATCTAGTTTTATAATCAGAAGATGGGCTGTTTTTATCATCAGGGAGTTTAATTAAACACTCTGTATTGACTTTGAGACAAGAAAAGAGAGAGAGTTGGGATCGTTTAAGAATCTTTAATTTCTTAATTATAAATCCTTAACAATCTACCAGGACTAACTCTGTGATGGATGAAAATGGATTTGGATGTTGTGTTGGTGCGTGTGTGTGTGTGTTGTTCAGGATCTTTAGGCTGACGAAGCGTATCTGGTTGTTATGACTACGGACCACGAGGCTTCGGAAGCTGATGACATGAGCAGCTATTTTGCCGTGTACGTACCCTGTGGAGTCTCCCAGGTAGATCAGGAAATGCCAGGTCCTAGGACCTCGGATGTGTACTGGAGCTGGTTGAAGCAGCGGTCACAGCACGTCAAAGCCCGTCTGAAGGGTCGACCCCGGTACCATCGGCAGCGTCAGCTAGTGGTGCTCTTATTTTGAAGGGATGTCGTCTTGTTGGTAAACAACGGAAATCTCCAGTAGCTTCACAGTTCTCAGTTAAAGAAGAAAGCACATCTGGCCAGGCTGTACTTCTCTTTTGATGACGGTGGAACCCCGTAGGACTTCCAACTGAACAGAACTGAAGTCAAAATGGAACTGCTTAAAATGCCGTTGCCTTGTTTTATATCTCTGAATTGTTGATAAGTTTTAGTAAACGGGATTGGACACTTTAATTCAACAAGCCAGATTCTCTTACGGCAGCCGAAAGCTCTGATTGGTTGGAACAATGTGTCATGCGTTTCTATGGAGATGAGGATCAGTCTGTCTGTGCAACAGTCCTGTTTTCATTAAACACATAAATCATGACATATTTATTCCACAGATCATTCACTTGATTATTATTGATCAACATCTGTTTCGACTAGCTTTAATCACAAATTAAGTACTTTGATTATTGAAAAGCGTTCTTCTTCTCCTTCTGGCTCTTCTCCTGGAATGTAAACAGTCTGAGGAACACCCGACCTTGGCGTTTTCTACACGGGTGTTACTGTGTACAGGGGCAGCTGTGTGGAGCTGAAAATTATGAACTTCATAACGTTACACATGGTTTACAACCAGTTGCAGTGTATGCCCAGCACACCGATAGGATACCACTCCAAACTTCTCTTCCAGGATGTGGAGAGCTGCAACCATGTTACTTGCAGTATCATGCACAATGGCAAGGACATTATGCAAGGAAATGTGGAATTTTTCTGCCACCTTCGCCACCCAGGAGGCAAGGTTTTCTGCAGTGTGGCGCTCTTCAACTGGGAGTGTTGTTACAGGGTGTCCGCGGGGTTTTAAAAAGTATTAAAAAGTGATAAATAAAAATAGTCAAATTTAAGGCCATTAAAAGTGTTAAATTTGGTCTCAGAGGTATTATTTTTTCCAAATTAGGTATTATTTTTTTCAGACTATCAGGTGTCGTATTCTGAACATCGACATAGAAATATATTCCGAATGAAATGTTTTGAACGATTATAAAAATATAACAAGCCGATTATTTGCTCCTCCCACTTGAGCTGCCCTGAGTTACAAATGAAGCGCTCCGTTGCCAACTTAGCGACTTTGATGCTATTTCTAGCAGCTCCTCAGACCCCCTTCTTGACTTTTTAAATCTTAAAAGTACCTAGCGAACACCTCAGAAACATCTCTGGTAACCCTTAGCTACTTTCTGGATAGCTGTCGTCGACATTTCCTGCAGGTTAGCTAAACTCCGCCTGCACTCCGGACCATTCTTCAGGACATTAGGAAAGGGAATGATGTAGTGATGTGTCAGTCGCTAAAGAAACGGCTCTCGGAGCCAGCTCCCTGTTGGAGTAACCAGAGTGAGTGACACACACACCGTAACTGCGGGCTCCTGAGCCACTAAAAACGGCTAAATGTGCACGTGCGGCGTGCTAAACACACGTGCAGCTTGCCCCTGATTGCTGTGAGACCGGGTTGGGGGTGGGGGGTGCAGCTGTTGTTGGGACATTTATTACATTAACTGATGGACCTGTAAATAAATAGTTTATAAATAAGATAGAAATAAGTTCCTCACGCTGATAACTAATAACTAATCTCTCTGAGGACACGGTGCTAGTGCACGCTCCTACAGCACCTTGACATGACTAAATAAATGTTATGCAACATTTAGTGAACAGCAATTTGCATGTATTTGTTATAAATGCCACTGTATAATTCTTGCTGTCAGTATTTGCAAGATATTGGTATTTGGGTCTGCACTGGTTAGACTTAAATGAGTTAAACCAAGGTCTATAGCCCTTGGGTCATAAACTAGGAGCTATAAGTATATTGGTCTTTTTATACTGGGAATCAGGAGTTATTTTAGTGATCATCTTGTTTCTTGTTTATTTTTGCCCTGATTGTGCCCTGAGCAGTTTTATGACTGAATAAAAATAAAAAAATAAAAATCTACATAAATTGAAAAATCGTCTTAAATAATCGAGATCTCAATTTCAGTCACAATAATCGTGATTATTGTTTTTGCCATAATCGAGCAGCCCTACTTTAGCATATCCGGTCACATAATGACGACGTCATATTCAGTGGTCGTTGTGCATCATTTCAGGCCTCGTGGTCAACTGTCTGAACCGCTGAAAAGAAGTGCCTGGCTTATTTTCTAAATAAAATAAATATGTGCAATACGTTGTCAACATCAGTGAGTCTCTAAGTCTATTCTTTTTGTATGTTATATATGTTAAAATGTGTAAATAGGTCGCTGATTAACACTTGCAATTTAGTGTTGTGATGGTTTTAAAAAAAATTCTGAAGGTAGTAAAAAAAAAGTATTAAAAAGTAGTAAATTTTATTGAAGGATTGCTGTATATACCCTGTGTTAATTTGAAGGAGAGAAGATCCCAATTGTCATTAATGAAATGACAAGTTACTCCTAAGTAGGACTCTGTGACTAGACTTGTCCAAGCATCAGTGGTAAAGGAGATTTTGGATGAGGCCTTTTTTAGTTCGTTCCTCAGTTTCTCAACTGAAGTTTGATACTTTCTCTCCATCATGCTTGTAAAATGGCGCCTAGGCGGCAGAGTGTAACCTGGTTGAAAAGTGGTCAGCATTTCTTTGAATCCTTCACCCTCAAGTGGCCTCATGTCTTTCAGAAACATATGAGCCATTCCCATCTGTACCGGGTCGGCCCGGGCCGGGTAGCGTAGGTTGTTTACATATCTGGGTGGCCTGGTATTTTTCCGGGCCAACCAAGGCTCATTCTCAGCCCTCTTCTCGAGGGGGTCTGCTTCAGGCCGACCAGGGCCAACACACCCACTGCTGACAGCAAATTCACACCTTCCATTAGAGCAAGCCTCTGATTGGTGGGAAGAATCAGCCCACATGGGCTTAAGACAAGGATGTGTGGAATCAACCGGGCCAGGCTGGGGCCGACTGGGGCTACCCGGCCCGGGCCGACCCGGTACAGATGGGAATGGCCCAATAGATAGGACGCTCTCAGTAAGTAGAGCCACCTCCTGGGGGGTGCAGGGCGTTCTTTTCTGACAGTAGTCCTCCAGACTTTTCTGTTTGTTCCTGAAAACATAAATCACACAGACAACACACAGATAAATTAAAATAATTACAAAAATATTTATGTAGAAAGCATCAAAATAATAATTTGAAGATCTGTATTTCTGTGTTTTCTCAAAATATTTAATCTATAAGATTTGTTAAAAAGGAGGTTGTTAACACAAAATGCTGCACATTTTTTGTAGTCATTAGATGGTGCAACTTAGATCTATAAGATCAACCAGCTGGAGGAGCATGATTCAAACAGGACATAACTTGATAATCAAGAGTCCTTTGTCATTTTGCTTTTGCAAGAACTTCAACAATACTGTAATAATGTCCACGACGGCTACATTTAGCAGGTGGTACATTGTCTTTGTTAACATTTTTACTGCGGCTAATTAGCGCTCTCTCACATTATCAGCTCTCGCCGATTCTCATAATCAGCACGACTCATTTGGCCATCATGAGCCACAAATAAAAACCAACAAAACGGATAACCGCTGCTGCTATATGTTACTACTAAGCAGCTTAAATGAGGGTTAGTGAGTTCCAGGGGTTGAGTGTTTATCTTTGTGTGTGAGTGGGTCTGCTTGTGTGTGTGAGTGAGTGCATGGCTACGTGGGGGCGTTTGGATGTTATAAAACAGCGTTAGTGAAAAAAAAGTTGAAAACTTACGGTGTTTTTTCGTTTGCAGAAGCTGCTCCTGGATGCCTTCGTTTGAGGTGCTGGTGCATAGCCGTCGTGCTTTTATGATAGGCCATTTCCATTTTACACAGCCGGCAAATGAGTGAATCGCTTCCCTTTCTGTTAAAATAGTCCCATACTTTTGAACTGCGAGTTCGGGTTGAGTGATTTAAGTCGACTGCCCCGCTCATGTTGCCACTACTCGCCGCTGCCATGTTTGTTTTTGAACGTGATGACGCATCGACGGAAATTATTTGCGTCGACGTATTTTACGTGTCGACGTAATCGATTACGTCGACACGTCGTCCCAGCCCTAAAAATCACATGACTCAGTATAAGGACGTAATTACACTAACCAAACAGTATTACTCCTGTCCAATCAACTCCAATCGAGGCAACACTAAGTCACTGTACTCCATTATCAATAAAATTCACCGGCCATCCGATACTCTGCCCCCACACATGTGCTCTACTGCTACTTGTAATGCCCTTCTTCTGTTCTTCAACGAAAAAATAATAAACATTCACCGTGCAATCAACCAAAGCATCCCCCCTACCTCCCCATATGATCCTCCCGAACCAACACAGTTATTTTCCATTTTCCAACTTCCCAGTGATTCTGAGATATCAGATATTATCCACAAGTCAAAGCCTTCTACCTGCCTTCTCGATCCCCTTCCCACGGCCTTGGTTAAATCCTGCCTCCCCTCCCTGCTCCCTCTCGTCTCCGCTCTCATACACACATCCCTTTCCTCCGGTATTGTTCCCTCTATCTTCAAAACTGCTGCAGTTACTCCAATACTTAAAGAACCTGGTTCGGATCCTAACATTTTTACTAATCTCCGTCTCATCTCCAACCTACCCTCTAGTTTTAGAAGAAATAGTCGCTGCCCAGCTCCACACCCATCTGACACTAAACTCCTTCTATGAACCCTTCCAGTCCAGTTTCCGCCCACTTCACAGCACAGAAACAGCCCTCCTCAAAATAACTAACGATCTCCTCATTGCTGCTGATTCCGGTCTACTATCCATCCTGGTCCTCCTTGATCTGAGTGCGGCCTTTGACGCAATATCTCATTCCATTCTCCTCCACAGGTTATCCTCCATCGACATTGCTAACATCCCACTTCAGTGGTTCCAGTCTTGCCTATCAGGTCGCACTCAGTTCATTACTATCAAATCCTCCCGCTCACAGCCCTCTCCTGTCTCTTCTGGTGTGCCCCAGGGCTCTGTCCTGGGGCCCGTCCTTTTCATTATATACATCCTTCCCCTTGGCAATGTCTTCCACAGATTCAATATTCATTTTCACTGCTTCGTGGATGACACCCAGCTCTATTTGTCCAGTAAGCCAAATTCTGCACTTCCTCCCTCCTCCCTCATCACCTGCCTTCAAGAAATAAAATCCTGGTTCAGTTCAAACTTCCTGAAATTAAATACAGACAAAACAGAACTTCTTTTGGTTGGTACCAAGAACACCCTCTCAAAATTTGACAGTTTCTCTGTCACTGTTGATGATACTTCAGTTTCCCCCTCTCCCCAGGTCAAGAGTCTGGGTGTCATCCTAGACAGCACACTATCCTTCCAATCTCATATCAATAGCATCACACGGTCAGCTTATTTCCATCTTCGTAACATTAATCGTCTTCGCCCCTCCCTTGATGTCCACTCTACTTCTATTCTTGTCCATAGTCTGGTTACATCACGTACCAATTATTGCAACTCTCTTCTCTCAGGCCTCCCTCAGAAAACCCTCCGTAAGCTCCAGTTGGTTCAGAATGCAGCAGCACGCATCGTCACTAAAACTCCCATCTCTCATCACATCACCCCCATCCTCAAACAACTCCACTGGCTTCCAGTCCACACCAGGATTAACTTCAAGATTCTCCTTCTCACCTTCAAGGCCATCCATAACCTCGCCCCTCACTACCTCACAGATCTCGTTCACAACGTCACCTCGTCCCGTTCCCTCAGGTCCTCCTCCTCCATTCATCTCTCTGTGCCCTCCTTCCGTCTCAGCACCATGGGGAGTAGAGCCTTCAGCTGCACCGCTCCCAAACTCTGGAACTCCCTTCCCCCTCTCATCAAGAACATTAACTCATTCTCAGAATTCAAAAAACAACTCAAAACTCACCTCTTCATAACCACATATCAGCTTTGAATTTTAGAGTGCCTTGTTTGCTGATGTTTACGTATGTTTACTTTGTTTTATTGAATGATTTGTGTTTTTATTCTGTACAGTGTCCTTGAGTGACCAGAAAGACGCTTTTAAATAAAATGTATTATTATTATTATTATTATGAATCTCTGAGAATGTGGGTGGGGCTAAAAACGTGAAGTCCATGGTGTCCTTAATTACTGAACAAGGGCAGCCATGTTGCTTTTGGAGACCGATATAGATTCCTACTCTGTGCTCCACTCGCTCGCTCACTCGCACGCACGTGCGTGAATATGCAAAGAACCCTAGAATCTTCTGGTTAAACATTCAAAGATCAGGTTGATATTTCATATATATATGGAATCATCACATCTTATTGGTCTTAATTAATAAATATGTAGTTCATCACGCTACAGCGTGAGAGCTCTGATTTGTCCCTGGTGTTGGACGCAGCAGGATTACTGCGTGCATACCAGTAGATCAGGGCTATTCAATCCTGGTCCTGGAGGTCCGGTATCCATGTTTTAGTTTTAACTCTGCTCCAACACACCTGGTCTCAATCAGCAGGTGATGAACAGGCTTCTGCAGAGCCTGATGAGCTGCTGCACAGGTGACTCAACCACTGAATCTGGTGTGTTGGAGCAGAGAAACCACTAAAACGTGCTGGATGCCAGCCCTCCAGGACCAAACTTGGATCGCCCTGCAGTAGATGATAGATAGCCACCTGTCTAAAGCTCTGCCTCTGCTCATCCACTGACAGGAGGGAATCAGGATGCTTCTGTCCCTGGCTTACCCCCCCACCTCCTGCAGCATCACAGACACACACTCCTAGTGACCCCAGAGGTAACTATCCTCCATGAGCAGAAGGCCCGCCTCCTTTTTGACCCATTCTACAGCCTGTCCGTCTGTCTGCCCAGCTGGTCGTTGAGCGTTCACACATGTCTGGAGAGCTCTTCAGCCTCTACCTCCATCAGAACTACCTGGACTTCTTCTCTGACCTGGAGGATGTTGACCGAGCCAGCCAGTATCTGTCTGATGCTGACCTGCTGACAGCTGATTGGACAGTGAGCTGTTCTCTCTCGCACGCACGCACACACACACACTTGTCACAGAGTAGATGTACCATGGAGATGAAGCAGTGGTTCCCAACCTGTTGTCATGAGGACCCATGTCCTGCCCAACCCAAAGGCCATGGTTTTATTAGAGCTGGGTGGTTCAGATCTAGGGGGGTTAGGGTGAATAAACATAAGAAGTTATGGTTTCACTGTCGACCACGTCATTGGCATGTTACCCATACAATCTCACAAGCTCAGCACTGAAAACACGGTGGGAACCACTGTGACATGGTCCAGTGTTGTTGGTGTTTATGCCAAGTCTGTCTCTGCTGGTGGTTCTAGAGCCGCAGCCTCCTGGAGCCTTATGGGTCCTCCGTGGCCTGCAGAGGACTCCTCCACTCACACTCACACCAGGTGTCATCTGGCTTCAGGCCGCTGCACAAACCCAGCTGGTTTCTGGTCAACAAGAAGGTACAGAACACACACACACACACACGCACACTATAGCTGTAAACATGTTGCGGAGATAAAATAAATGAGGTGGTTGTCTGAAAGCTGCACCAACAACACGGCTCGGACCAAAGGTTACTACTGGACCATCGGTCTCAGCGAACCGCCGCAGCTCCCTGGTCCTCCACTCATCACACACGTATACACCACTGGTGTGAGAGCTTCTCCGCTCCGCAACACCAGTCTGAACTGGGTCTGTGGCGGCGCTACGGCAAAGCCACTGGGACAAAAAACATGGCACAACGTTTTAGATACTGCTGTGCCACACATAGGCTATGGAAAGTTTCCCAGGTTTGTTGTTAAATATGATTGACACTAAATGTTTTCTTCATAACGGCCTCAACAGTCCTAATGGGATTTTAAAACATACGTATATGCTCAGCAGCCCTGGATGTCACTTATTCTGCATGTTTCAGTAGTTTTAGCTTTTATACTTGCTGTTCTATAAAGTTCTTAACCCTCCCACCGTGCTGTTGGTGACCCCCCCAGGAGAGGTCACTGTTGAGCTTTTGAGCTGGTGCTCACTCTTCACCCCCACCGCCTGGACCTCAAGGGATCAACCATCAACCCTGCACAACGGTGACCTCTCCTGGAGGGGTGACCCGATAGGACAGTGGGATGGTTTAAGGGACTATAGGGCACCTAAGTCTCCTCCCTATTCGGTCGGCTCACGGGTCGCCGGAAGAACAAAAAAATGAATGCAAGTGGGCTAAAAACTATTTTCTAACCTGCTTAGCCTTAGACCCTGGCTCACACACACATGTTGTACTGCAGTTTAAATGAAAACTAATGACGGGTGTTTTGACCACGCCAGTCACGTACTTGTAAAAGTTGGTAATTGGCATGGCGTCAGACATTGGCATGTCTCATCACCACAGAATCTCCTCTCCACTAGCGTAGCTGCTACTCACCACATGACCAGATTTATGGTGGTTTGTTCCTCCTGTGGGAAGTTTGCTGAACTTGCAGCCTTTCCCCCTCAGTTTTCTCTGTGTCTGGTTCGATGACGTCACTTTGGTGAAGCGCATTTGTAGTGCTGGACTTATTTTCACACAAAACCTAAAATAGCGTTCCTCCTGTTCAAAAATAAGCTCTTTATTGGTATCAAAACGCTTCTTTAAAATTCACGGACGTCTTATGTGAAATCCATGGCACAAAACAAGCGGAATTAGGAAATAGCATTTTTAGGCCCGTTGACTTCTGTTCATTTTTTCATTCTTCTGGGGACCCGTGGTCCGGAAGTAGATGGGCATGACGTAGGCTCACTGTCTGAGACTGCAGGTTGACGCCCGCGCTGTTGCTTGTAGAAGCGTAAATGGGCGGTCTGCAGCTGTTTCAGGCCCGGCTGAGAAAGGTTCATGATTGTTCTCGTGCACATGCGCAGATCATCATTCTTGTTCCTGGAAGAACGGTTCAGAGCACAAATGGTTTGTTGTTGCTAGTCTGCAGGAATATCTACAAGAAAGTTTTACAGAAAGTAGCAAAGGGTCCTCACAGATGTTGCTAGGTTTGTCGCTAGGAACAGCAACAAAGTAGCTGAGCTGGCGGCACCGCGTCTCGCTCAGCCGCTAAGCTACAGGTAGCAAACGCTGAATGAGCATGACGTCATTATGCTGCCTCTGGGCGGCGCTGGGGAAGCCAGCTGTTTGACCCGAACATGCTCTAGAGCAGCGGTGTCAAAGATGTGGCCCGCGGGCCGGATCCGGCCCGCAAGCGAGTTAAATCCGGCCCGCGAGATGGTTGTGTAAACTTTATTTTTATACTTTACAATGTAGAGTGAACATAAACGTATCTTTGTGAGCAAGTTTTCTCTGTGATGAGTATAAATAAAACAAAGCTGCGCTCAAGGTTCACACAAGAACTTGAATCACATCCTGAAGTTGGCCGCCACTCAGGATGTGAATTCTGATGTTGATGTGCTGGTGAAAGCTAAAAGATGTAAAGTAAAATGAGTCAAATATACTTTAAGTGCTGCATGAAACTGATCTAGCCATGTGATCTGTAAGCTCTTTGAATCACTAAGGAATGTTTATTTATTTATTTATTTATTTTTTCAAATTCTCAAGTACACTTTAGGTGTGGTACTTGTACTACACTGTCCTCAGGCTCCAGCCTTGTTTTATGTTGATTGTATTAAAACAAAGAAAACAATCTGAAGTTTGTTTTTTTAATTTACCGGTCCGGCCCACTTGGGACTAACTTCCCTCAATGTGGCCCCTGAGCTAAAATGAGTTTGACACCCCTGCTCTAGAGGATAGGGCCATCCCAGTAAATACCAGGGTGGTGCAGGAGAACGTCTGGGAAACACGTTTTGGTTAAACTTCCTTAACGTCCCTTTAACTCATTTTGCCCCATTTCATCAGAGCTGCTTAGGGTGTGCTTCGATATGTTTAAATTTCCGGTGGGATTAAATGAATTTGGGGACAAATGCATTTACAGCTGAGATTATTTATTAGACCAGTACATTTTTCTGTTGGTACAAATGTTAGCCAAAGGCCGTGAACCACCCCTCTTGAGCGGAAACCTTCAACATGCCGCAGCCATGGTAACGATGGACTTCTGTGTCAAAGTTGGTTCCTACCAAGAACCACAACTGCACATTTACCACTCAGACGTTTCATTGTCAACGTGGTAATGTAACTGCTAGTCGTACACTCCGCCCACCTAGCGATGTCATCAGCAGGCGCAAGCCCCTGAGCCAATCTAGTACAGACGCTGGCTGCTGCCGCAGTCCCAGAATAAAAGCACCGTCTGAAATCACGGACAAGGAGATGTTTGGGTCTAGGTGTTCAGCACGTCATCAGTTCCTCTGGCAGCGCTGGTTTCCAAGTGAGCTTTCACCCTCAGAAGGAAACGTGCTGAGGAATGTTCAGGCCCTCACCCTCAGTGTTCTGATGGATGTGGTTCTGTTGGTTCCAGTATCGGGACAACTGTCTGGCTGCCCAGTCCCTGTTCAGGAGCTTTGGTCTTCCACCAGTGTGCCTGCAGACCCAGCTGCTGCCTTACCTGGCCAAACTCTCCAACCCCATGAGGAGCCAAAGTAACACACATCTGGTTTACTTTCATGTGCTGTTGTACCTTCTTGTGCTCGTTAACTCTTTCTGATCTAAGTTACTATGCTTGTGTTACTCATCTGAAACCGAGATGACCTGCTGCGTTCTGTCCCGAAGCACAGGTAACGTTCATCCAGGCTGTGGGCCACATGTCTCTGACGAGATGTTCTGGAAGGTATGGCACAATTCACCCGTCTGGCAGGGTCAGAGCGGTGGTGTCATTCATTAACTTCCTACTGTGCTGTTCTGTATTCAGACTGAAACCCGAGACTCTGACAGACAAGGAGACAGGGGAGCAGCAGGAGGTGGAGGAGGAGCAGAGGGACCTTCCGTCCAGTCAGCCTGAACTGTCAACAAACCAAGTTCTCCTCGATGAAGAAGACCTGAACATAGAGGACTATAGCAGCGACTGACCCGCTTCTCCTGATCTGATCTGATGTTCCCATATTTATTTAGCAGGAGTAACAGCTGTGGCTTTTACTGGTGCTACTACAGCCACCGCTGTTCCTGACCTTCAGACCGTAGCTGCTCCTCCAGGGTCCTTCAGACCGTAGCTGTTCCTCCAGGGTCCTTCAGACCGTAGCTGTTCCTCCAGGGTCCTTCAGACCGTAGCTGTTCCTCCAGGGTCCTTCAGACCGTAGCTGCTCCTCCAGGGTCCTTCAGACCGTAGCTGTTCCTCCAGGGTTGTTCAGTTGTGAAGAAGCACATGAATAAAAATATGAGAAGTTGATGTATGGAGATCTCTCAGGGCCGTGTGTGTGTGTGGCAACAGGCAAGAGCAGACGGGTTTACTCTCTTTAATGTGTTCTAGCAGGTGATTTGTTCCCTTCAGCTACAGGTAGAGCATCTGTAAGCTGTGAAGATAAACCGACATGTACCCCTACAGCTCGTTGTTAGCAGACAAGGCTGAATCTGTAGCTTCTCTTGGACATTATTGCCTTGTTGGTTTCAGATAAAACGTTATCGTCTGTTTTAAAACCATGTAACACGAGCACCACACCGGCTTCTTAACAAATAAATAACTGCTGTCTCCGTTGAACCAGTTCCTGAAGTTCTACAGTAGGTCTGGAGGACGAGGTGGGCCCTGAGACCAGCTGACTCAGTAGGCAGGTGCCACATCAGACATTCTCCTCTCAGGAAGTGTCTCCACTACGACCTGACCCAGAGGCATCACTAATGATCTGAATTCGAGCTACTGGTAGGTTAGTTGTTCCTAAGGCAACTGGAGTGTTGAGAAGGGGTGGACCTACAGGTTGGTCTCAGGACTGCACACCAATGACCATGTCTAACCACTTCCTGTATGCCAGGGCCAAGCTCCTCTGCTCATGGGAACAACAGCTGTCCAGCAAACTGCTGACAAACAGGTGTTCAGCCGGTAGGTTCAGGACTCCAGGTGGCAGCACACCTCTCAGCTTCTTCTCTTCTTCTGGATCTTCCAAGGAAACCAGGTCTACCTCCATGAGGACGCTGCCATGTCCGTGTCTGCTCAAACATGATCGTCCTTGGTCCTCCAGCTCACTGAGGTGCTTTAACTGGCTGTCTCTACTGCTGCTGCAGTCACGATGATGCTCCTTCCATTGGTGCCACAAGTAGAACACGTGTCTCCTGGAATGGGAGGACATGTTAAAACCAGACATAGATATACATCTCTGGACATAGCCCACTCATTCCACTCTTAATGTACAAAAGGCCACAAATACGAGGTTACCACCACCGCCATCTTGGCCGTGTCACACAACTCGTCATGCGCTAACAATCCAAAAATGGGAAAGAGGTGGAGCTGTGGGTGGGAGCAAGGGGAGACACCACTGATCCAACTTTGCTCCCAGCACAGAAGAGATCTCTCAGGGCATAAACATAAAAATAAAATAAACAAACAGAAGAGACAAACTGCAGTTCCCTCCTCGTCCACTAGGGGCTGGCAGCAGACGTGAGCAGATCCTCATCAATTCCCATGTTAAAAATGCCGACTTCACAGCAGAAAAATGTGTTTACAGCCTGGTTCAAAAACCATTCTAGGTGTAATTGATCTAGTTTACACTCATGACAACACCGGGGTGCATTCCTTTGTTTAAGTGGAGTTTAATGCTTAAAAATCTGAATAATTAGATTTGATTGGCAGATGGCACGAGCCTCAGAGCTAGGTCACAATCAGAAAGGCTTTATTGCCAAATCTGTGAGAAACTGCTGCAGGACTTGGTGCAAATATACGAAGTAAAAACATAATAATCAAGATTCAAGATCCGTTTATCGTCAAATGTAGATATGGAAGAAAAAAAAGTCATGATCTAAGGCACTCCGTAATATACTTTATTATAAGCCGACACGTTTCGCTTGCGTGCGACCTTCTTCAGAGCGTCTAGTCCCACTGATAGTCACTCCCACCTGTTTGAATCATTTTATTGTCATTGCACAATAAAAACATTAAAGACAGCCCACATAAGGAGGTAGTATAGAGTGGCAATAATTAGAGAAATGGCCACTATATAAAAGGGCTCTGGGCTCCAGGATTCATGTTCACAGATGTTCGGCCATTTTGACTCTGAACTTTAGCGGCGTCCTCTGTGTGCTCGTGTTTGGGTTAGCCGTGGTGGAATCTGAACAAAGAGGGCAAGCTGTGGTTACTGATTGCACTAAAAGATCATTCAAGAAGTCCCTGCTTCATTTGGATTAGTAATCCATCCATTTTCCTCTGCTTAGCCGGAGTCGGGTCACAGGGGCAGCAGTCTACATCTACAGACCTTCCTCTCCCCAGCCACTTGGACCAGCTCTACAGGGGGAATCCCAAAGCGTTCCCTGGCCAGCCGAGAGACATGTCCCTCCATCGTGTCCTGGGTCTCCCTTTAGGTCTCCTCTCGGTAGGACGTCACCGGAAAACCTCACCAGGGAGGCGTCCAGGAGGCATCCTGACCAGATGCCCGAGCCACCTCAACTGGCTCCTCTTAATGTGGAGGAGCAGCGGATCTACTCCGAACTCCTCCCGAATGACTGAGCTTCTGACTATCCCTAAGGGAGAGCCCAGCCACCCTGCGGAGAAAACTTATGTAGGCCGCTCGTATCCGTGGTCTCGTTCTTTCGGTCACTGCCCAAAGCATAGGTGAGGGTAGGACCGTAGATCTACCGGCAAATTGAGAACATTGTCTTCTGACTCCGCTCTCTCGTCACCAAAATACAGCGCGAAGGAAGCTCGTTACTTCATACAAGCTTTACAGAAGAAACTGGGCGGTGTGAGGTAAGTTTTTACGGCTCGCTGCAGAAATAAAAACATGGAGCATCAACAGTCAAACACAACACGTGTCTGTATGAGCGTGACACTCATAGCTGCACTAATAACCTGTGAAATAATTAAAGAGATCGTGTTAGATCAGCAGCCTGTGATGACACCTGCTTCTGCTCGGTATAGGAGCCGCTTCAGATAATAAATAAATATAATAAACGGAAAGTTAAACAGAGCTTGAATAAGATTTTAGCGCACCGTTACACCCAGTATTGTACTTGAGCTCTAACCACTGCGGCATGTTGAAGCAACAGTAGTCAAACACGCTGTAGCACCGTGGTCCTATTTGGTGTTTTTGGCAAGCAGTTTCCATGACTGGACGACTCGTGCCCCATTAACAAAGATAGTTAAAGATGAACACCCCTTCTTTCTCTGAAAATTGATTCTTATAGAGTGACTAAAACCCGACCAAAGACCCACCTCCCAAAACAAACTCCTCGATTCACATGAATGCCATATTTGGTTTTAAATGTGGCAATTTTTGGCGAAAAGCGCCAAGTTTGCAAATATGGTACAAACATTTTAAATTCACGTCAATGCTAACAAAATGTAGCACTTTACTAAATCGATTTGAGCCTTTTTAAGGGTCTTAATTTCCCTTAAATCGGCTTTACAAGACCCACCCAAATACCCTGGTTAACCCACCGGTGACTCCAGAGTGCTTCATGTCCAGGGAAGGACAGAATCAGGTCCGAGCAGAATTCCATCTCCTGGTAGAAAAGCTGATCGACTAAATAAGAGCTGTCAGGGGAAGAGGATGCTTGTTTCTGAGGACCGCTGTTGCTCCAGAGCTCAGGCCCCAGGTTCAGGTCTGTGATCAACTCCTTGAGCAGGAACTGGCGATAGTGGAATCCACTGTGGTCAGACACATGCATAGACACCCACAGGCGCAGCGATGACAGTTCATCATGGAACACCTGTCAGGAGACCATACAGGTGAAACCAAAAGCAAAACACAATCCATCTAAAAATACAAGCCTCTGTAACCACGGTAACACATCATATAACCAACTTATTTTTTTACAACATGTTGAGTTTAGGTGGGTTACAGGGTCACATCAGGTCAGCAGGTGGTCATTCAGAGAGGATGAGGACAGATCTCCTTCCAAGAACATGAGTAAGTGTCCCAGAACACTTCTGAAGTGATTAAATCTCAGAAATGCATTCCATAGTCCCCACCTCCACACCACTAAAGCAAAAAGCACTCATTCACTGCCACTGACGACTAAAGTCGTCATTTGCATGTTTTTACTGTGTGGGCATTGGCGCGAGCCCCCGCACCGTGAGAACAAACAGCTCTAAAGCCGGTCTTCATCCACGTACGTCACACGTCACGCGATCAGGAAGTAGAACATCCATGTGTTAGGAGATCGTTTTGGTCTGCTGCTGTAAAAAAAAAGTGAGGCGCGAACCGAAAAAGCTTCTGCCGATCACAATTCAACAACGGATTATGAAAGAACGGATAAAATTCTAAACGCGCAGATTCTTCCTGATGTAAGAGATGAGTCTCCTCTTTGTTTTGGTTGTTTTGGCGTTGACATCATCCTAGCGCGCAACGTTCTGTGACTCTTAAAAATACAGTGAAAACGCTGGCAGCAAAGGGCTTTCTGATCAGAAAACGGCTGGCAGCGAATGAGTTAATACAGCCAACAAAAGCCTGACCTTAGAGTTGCCCTGGGCCATGTGCCGCAGGACCCAGATGCGATGGGACCATGCGTTGTAATTGCTGGGATAACGGCTTGCAGCGTCAGCGCACACCATCATCTCTTGAAGAATAATCTGGGCCAGATGATCATTGGCATGTTGGGTAATTTCTGCATCAGCAACTTCAACTTCTGCTTCCCGACGCAGCAGAATTTTATGGTGACCCACAGCAGGAAACCGATTCAAGATCTGTTGTAGCACCCACCGCCTGTAAGGAGAAAGGAATGGTAACACGTTACAAGAAAAACAAAAAACCTGGATCATATCCTGCATCTACAGGGATTCTCTATATCTGAATAAAATTAAATACATCACATTAGTGTCACATCAGAAAATAATATTAAAAAAAGGACAGTGAAAGATTAAAGAGTAAACAATAAAAAATGCACAAATACCAGCACAGATCCCTGTGGTACCCCGTGCAGCTGACCAGCTTATCAGAGACACAACCCTGTGATCTAAAACTGTAATCTGTGAGGTAGTCCAATATCCACTAAGACGTGGCCACAGCTGCCATCTCTAGCTTGTCCCTCAAAAGTCCAGGGGTCTCATTTATCTAACAATGCGTAGAATCCGTACTAAAACCGTACTTAAGCTCAGCACAAACAAAACCTACTTACGCCAAGTAGGTTTGTGATCAATCAAACATGGAGGACGCACAGCTGCAAGCAATCTCCGCTTCATAAATCAGAAACTATCTAGAAAGGTTGTCAGCTGCATTTTAGTCACATCCCGCCCTCACCACGCCCCCTTACTGCCATAAATAGTCAATGCAAAGTGCCTTGTGGATCTCATGCATGTACATAAGCCGGCTGTTGCAGCGCTGACGATGGCGACCGTAGATCAAGGCAGATCAAGGAAGCTCAATTTCACAGAAGCAGAAGTTGAGGTACTTGTGGGTGAGGTGGAGAAATGTAAGGAAGTGCTTTTGCAAAACAAATAAGAGAAAACCCACGGAGTGGCACAGCGTTGCTGAAGCCGTCAATGTTGTAAATTCTTCAGAGAGATCTGTGGCGGATATTAAAAAAATGGTCCAATCGGGATTGGACTCCCAGGTGAAAGTCACACGTGCTAACCAGTCAGCCAAACAGAGATCTCCCTTGTCCTAGTAGCCAGGGCGCATGATCAATCGGGTCACAGTGACAGGACACACCCTGTCACAGACGCATGACATTCTGTCTCAAGCTGTCCCCCTGCTGATATTCTGCATTCCATATTCTGCACTTCAGGCTATGTGTGTACGCGTGCGTGTGCGTGTGTGTGTGTGTGTGTGTGTGTGGGGGGGGGGGGGTCTTGTTCTGTGTGAAAACGAAGCGGTACAAGTGATAATGCTGCAGGATTTCATAATTTTATCCTTCTCAGCAGCAGCACTGCAGGTGCTCTCCATGTCCAACATGTGTGTAAGCCAGGTCCTTAGTCAACTTAAAGTTACGCACATTTTTCTGCTAAGTTTTCTTTCATAAATCCCAAAGTTTGCGTGGAAAGTTGCTTACGCAGTTTTCCGACCCCGTTTTGTGCGTAAGCAAGCTTGATAATGAGGCCCCAGGTTGGACTTGATGTTTAAGGTGAACACTATAGCAACATCTAGTGTGTGAAGGTTGTGGTTGCAACAGTAGAACAAAGAAGATCTGCACCTTCCCCAACAGCAAGCCATGGATGACCAAAGATGTCAGGTTCCTGCTCAAGACCCGTGACTAAGCTTTCAGGTCTGGTGATGCTCAACAAAACAGTGTTGCAGGTCAAAGCTGAAGGGGGGCATCAGAGGATCAACAGCCACTTTGACAACTCTTGACACTTTGACATGGATGGCTAGGGATACAGCACATCACAAATCAGACCAGCACCAACTCACCATCCAACAAGGCCAGACTGGCTGAAGAGCTCCACAGCTTCAGAGGTGACGACTGCTGGAACCACAACTCCATCTACAGCACCAACAAGCAACCGCCAGGTGCTCATCCTGCAGACCGCTGAGGTTAAGCGTACACTCAGAAGTGTTGATACAAGGAAAGCAGCTGGTCCAGGCAGGGTGCTAGGTGACTGTACAGTGGAGCTGGCTAAGGTCCTCACTGACATCTTCAACATGTGGCTGTCCCAGTGCTCTGTCCCCACGTCTAAAAACCTCCACAATAGTACTGATACCCAAACAGTCTGCAATAACAAGGCACAACGACTACAAGCCTGTAGCTTTAATATCTCTCATTATGAAGTGCATAAGTGGAGAGATGAGTGCTGCAATACATCAAACCTGTTATGCAGCTGAAGTGGTTTAAAGGTGAATCAACACAGCTAGTTGTTAGACCTGTTGATGTATTCGTACCTTCCATAACAACTGAAGAAGTGTGATCACTCAGATACCTGAGGTGTGATGTGTAGCAGATGAAACAGATGTCTCAGAAAAACCACAAACAGCCAGATAGGCCCATCCTTAAAGACCCACTCTAATGAAAATCTGTTGTTTTCTGTTTTTAACATATTCTTGAGACTTTTCTTACAGGACACATCTAAAGAAATGTAAGCTTAAATTTGCATTTCTGAGTGTTGTTATGATGATGAATGAGTGGAAACAAGTGTTGTCCAAAAAATCGATACCCAGATATAAATCGATACTAAAAGTGGTATCTAAATAAGATATTCCATCCCTGTGGTATCGATATTATGGACTATTATACACGGCCTTCTCCAAGTACACCGACACGCACGACAGCCAGATGCCGTAAAGCAGCCTCCGCCTCCCAGACAAACAGAAGAAGAAGACGCCGCATGGCTACATTACAATTTCCCACGCGAGTTGTCTCCGATCCAAGTTTTGTCTGCCAAATAAATAAACAAAATCATAAACAGCGAATTTGGGAGGCGCTTCACAGCCCAACTTTATTAGCATACCAAGTCCGACACGTAGTTGTATATTCACGCTTATGTGCTTAAAGGAAACTCCCGTTTATTGCAACCCGGACTTAATTTCTAGCATGCAGTACGTTTGTTTACTCACGCTGACAACTTTGGTGCTACTTGGATTCCCGGGGGTATTTACCGTAGATCCATCGGCGAATCGCCATCAGTGTATATCCATATAACGGGTGCGGACGGGCACCCATGGTGCAGCCTCGAAATAAGACATTATCTGCACCAAAACATCTCAATGTCGAAAGGTTTAGTTAGGAATCATTAACGTGATTCCCCTGTTCGTTTGGAGCGGGTCTGGGATTTCTAGGCGTGAACAGACTAGCTGCGGCTAATCTAACCGGCGGTTTTAATGACGTCACTGCCGTGCGCCAATCTGTTTTTATTAAGATTACCGGTAGATGTACCTTTGTCCTACTGTGGAGAAATTTGTTTTCTCCCTTTATTGACCAACAGAGTTGTTCAAAAGTACAGAACAAAACATATGGCGTTACATCTTATGACAAAAATAAACAGAGTTTAAGCAGCAAAACATCACTCTGCAGATAGTGTATATATAGTGAGACAATTCATGATTTAAAGTGTTAACTTTCACCAGTTTTTGTATGCACGTTTTAAAAAATGCTGATACTTGAAAGGTTTAAGCACTTTACACACTTAATTCTTAACATTTAATTTTTGCAATATAAATTGAGGAATGTTATTTTTTGAATAAACTTGTTCAAAAAATTGGTGTTTTAAAATAGTATCAAAATAGAGTATCGAGTTTTTTTCCCCAGTATCGAATCGAGTTTGAAATTTTAGTATCGTGACAACCCTAGTGGAAACATTTGCTGGCCAAGTATTGCCCCACATAAGCCTGTAAGTCAACACTTGTTTAATCTTAATGTGTGTTTGTTGGTAGAGTGTTGTGTAATAAGTTCAGCTTGTTTTAGAAACATACGAAGTTAAAAATGAGTGTTACTCACTACAAGAAAAGTGGATTTCACGTGCATCAAAAATCAAGGTAGACTTCGGGTCACATTCCCACCATTTAGTACCTTTTCTAGTTTCATACAAGAGCAAGCACGCATTAGAGATGGTCCCAGTTTCTCATGTCTGTCAACAGTCCAGAGTTAATTTGACACAACTGTAAAAATAATTAAAGCTGCAAGCAGCGTCGTTCGGCCCTCGCAGCGAAGCTGCTCGTCCTCCGTCCGCGCCCCCTCCGCTCCATCCCAGATGCTCTCCAAACCCAGCTCCGCGCTTCTATGTCCTGGCCGGCAGCCGGGGCACCAGGGCACGTCTGGCGGAACAGAAAGTCAACCACCCCGACACCAGAAACCGTGAATGGCCTCCTCGTCCACACCTCACCCTGACTCAGCATCCCCTCTGAGCCCACCATTACACGTCTCACCACTAGGAGATACTCTATCTTTACCACACTGGTGATGTGATGTTCAGTCTCGGGCAAATCGGAGGCTGTTTGTGGAAGTTACAGTCAAACGTAAGGTCACATCGTCACGCCAGAAATCGCCATGGCATCAAAGCCCCTCCCTTTCTGAAAAGCTATCAGATCTGAATGGTCATTACAACATTATGAAGACAGTGCATGACCTTAGTGTCATGTTGACTAAATTAGAGGGGACAAATATGGGCATTTCACCATAAAACAGTAGACTTCCTGTAGTCAGGGGGCGGGGCTTAGGTGATGTCAGCTGTCCACATTGTCACTGTCTTCAGATGTGGTCAGTGATCACACAGACAAAGTTTGAAATTGATCTGATCATGCACATGGGAGTTATTAAGTCAAGTAACGTAATGGAGACTGGTCAAAGTTTGAGGCTTAGCCACGCCCACACATTTATACTTATTTAAAATCCGATGGTTGAATTTTTTCCTCTATGTGTTAAGAGTATATAGCAGGAGTTTGAAGGTGATCGGTGGAAAGGACGACGAGACATCATTCTCCTAATAACGTGTGCGAAAACCACTAAATCGAGTACTTGGACCAAAATGGCCGACCTCCTGTGCGACATTGTTCTTTGGCTCCAAGAGACTTTTTGGTAGGTCCTGAGACACTATACTAGCGTGCCAAATTTCGTGATCCTCAGTCAAAGCATGGCTTGGGGCTGATAGTTTTAATGGTCCTAGGGGGCGCTATTTCAGAAAATAGGCCACGCCCACAAACTTCAGCTGTCCAATTCTATTAGGGGTCAGAGTAAGATCACTCATCAGAAATTGTGTGGTGATGTCACAATGATTGAAGAAATGAGAGACAAACGTGTTTCCACGGCGTGATGGTGAATTTCGCCATGCTCCCAA